AGCATGTCTGCACACACGGCGAGGATCTTTCGGACCCCGTCGCATAATAAACATTACCATAATTAATGTTACAATATAGGAAATATATATATATATCTTTTATAATAAATACTTTTAATCATATCATATAAATTTAATGTGATATTTTAGTAATCCTTTAGGTAATCAAATGCAGGATACTTCGTGGCGCAGAATTTTTTTTACTTAATAAATGATATATCTTTTATAATAAATACTTTTAAAAAACTCATATAAATTTAATGTGATATTTTAGTAATCCTTTAGGTAATCAAATGCAGGATACTTCGTGGCGCAGAATTTTTTTTACATAATTTAATAAATGGAACAAAACAATTTTTCCGAACAATTTCCACAATTTCTTCCTTCGACAGGAGGAATGACACCTGTCGTTCGCAGAGCTATTATCAACCTACAGTTTATCTGTCAGGAACAGAGTTTGGCGAAAGGCGGTTTGTATAAAAGAACAGCGTCTCCGGATCATGGATACACATCGTGATAACATCTAGTTGGCACGGTCGACAGTTGCAACAGATTAGTGATAATTGTAAGTAATCGGTAAAATTAAATTATATGATAAAAAATCAAAGTGTATTCGTGTTATGCGACGTGACAAATTTTCCACTATTGTTTCTTACGTTAAAATCTTACAAAACATTTTTTTTCTTTTGCACAATTGTTAAAAATTGTTATGTGTTAATGGCTTCTATCAAATAAACAAGTAATATAAAATTTGTTTATAAAATTGTATTGCATTCTAAATTTAATGATGTGCGTATTAAGAATAATCTACATAAAGAAAACATTATAATAAAAATTACAATATAATTTTCGTAATCGTGGAAAATACTAACATATAAGAGAAATCACGTGCGCGCGCTATTATATGCATATTATATTTTACAAAGAAGTATTGCAATTATTCACATATATTTGATGCGCAAACAAATGCATAATTTACAATTTTTATAGTAATAAATAATTTAAAATGTCGTTATATTTAAACTTTAATAAATGTAAAAGAAAATATATTTTTCATATAATTTGTAAAATTTCCTCCATGTATATACATGTTACTCTATCTTTGTCAAGACAGCATCTATCAATGGCTAACTACGCCGTCACTATCGCTATTATCGTCGGGATTGTTTGTGGACAAGCATTGAGTGTAGTCGAGGATGCTGATAGAAGTCTTCTAGGATTGAACCTTCCCTACGGTAGGGGATTGGTAAGTATCTGCTCGAGCCGAAATGAAATTTGAAAAATATTTAACGCTTGATTAGCGCAACATATGATATTTATCATATTTCAAAACTAAGAAATATATCACGTGTTTCATAAGTATAAGTAATAATAGTATTGATTTATATCGGACTGAAAAAAATATTGTTTGAAACGGTAACATGGTTTACGAAAAAAAATCAAATAATGCGTCGTTCCTTAGGCAAGAATTTATATACGTTACCAATGTCCGATATCTTGTTTCAGGATAGTGAACTGCAACTGGCCAGATTGATGTTGTTAACTCCGCGATTTTGTCATCCTAAACGCAATTCCGAGCTTATAAACTCGCTGTTGAGTCTACCGAAAAATATGCACAATGCCGGGAAATGAAAGTATCTAAAGGTTAACGCGCAAAGCTTATTCGCCGTAAAATTTACAAAATTAAAACACAGCAGTTAAAAAAATATCATCAAAGTTTTCAATAATATTCTAAATATGTATATGTAAAGAAACACATACCGATGTGTACAAAATGTAAATCGGTATTAATAAACGTAAAAACTTAACTTTCTATTTTATCATATTTTTTCCTTACATAATTGTATTAAGAATATTGCAAAACGCGTATATATATAATACGCTCCATTTATTTTTTTACACCATACATTATTTACGAAGACTTATCATAATGTAATGTTTATTTCCTTTCTCCCCTCCTAAAGTCTTTAATTTATATAGTTTGAAGCATTCAAAATAAGCGTGTGCGCCATATTATTATTATATTTCTTATAATAAAATATATATATATATATAATTCAAAAAGTGTGTGTACAAATTGTAAACGTTAAAATCGCACATATGAAGATCTATCATCTTGATTCCAATAAATAACTCATATTGTTTCAATAGAACAATAATGTGCACAAAACCTCATTTTACAAAATGAGATATTGTGTTACTTTATTTATATATATAAAAATGTTCTAAAAGAAGTTTTTTCCCTCCTTCTACAATAGAAATAAAATGTATGTAATTAAAAATTAGTATTCACACATTATACATAGAAAAACTATATATATATATTTCATATAAAGGTTCATTTATAGAGAAAAATCCATTCTTACAGAGAGTATGAGAAAAATATTTGTATCATAATTAAAATTTCAAATGAAAACCTCCTCCGACGGGCGGCGCTCTGCCCCCCTCCATTAAACCCATATGAAAACCGGAGTTGCTTAAATCGGCATCGTCTCCGTCGCCTAATTGTTTATATTCTCTGCCGCCACTCGGTGGTTTCGGGGATGCGTTCATGGTTCTAGTTCCCTGTTCCGACTTCGCGGGCCATGTAGGGAACATTTGCGGATCGATTGGCAGAGGTGCTTCAGTGAAATATCCATGATTCAAAGCGTCCTCGGCGGTTATACGTTGACGAGGGTCATACGTTAGAAATCTGAAAACAGGATTTCTTGTAATGAAACTTGTTTAAATATTTAATGCTCATATTATTCTTTAATATAGAACTAATAACTTACTTGTTCAATAACTCAACACCTAAATCAGACAATGATAAACTAAATCTTTGCCGCAAATTATTTACAGGATAATGCGAGAATGGTATCTTTTGAACCATAGGTAATTTAACATATCCTGGCCAAATCCTTTCGCTGGGTGTACCCAGCTCCTTAAATATCTTATTTAATTGATCTATATCCGATTTTCCGGGAAACAATGGTTCCATTCTTAGAAGCTCGGCGAAAATACATCTAAGAAAACATAATATTATGTATGTTATAGAGTTTACATATATATTTTATAATTATATTTATATATTTAATAATATTAATTTTATCAAATTTATATATATTTCGAAAAAGGGTATTCCAAATTAAATGTCTATACTTACCCTACAGACCACATATCTATAGGCGTACTATATTCTCTATCATTCAGCAGTAATTCGGGAGCTCTATACCAGAGCGTTACAACAATTGGCGTATATTGTCTTAAAGGGGAACCATATTCTCGAGCTAAGCCGAAGTCACCGACTTTCAAAATGCCCCTGTGACTTAATAATAAATTAGATGTCTTTAAATCACGATGTAATATCCAATTATCATGTAGATGGGTAACTGCGCGTAACAATTGCTGCATAAGACATTTAACTTCTCCTGCAATAGATCAAAACATTCATTTTTTTTTAAGATTATGTTTGTACTTTATAAATTATAAATTAAAAAGTTGGATGTGATAAAAAAACGTCCAAACTTAAATATATAATCAAGAAGACACATCCATTGTTGCAATCATTATAAGTCCTTAACATTGTATTAAATAATTTGTTCATAGTTAAATTTTACTCTCGATATATTTTTGTTAAAATTATTTTTCATTATTTGACTTGCATTGTTATTTTGCATGCAATTTTTTCAATTAGTCTGTTACATATAATGAATATACTCACCAGGTATAAAAACTTGCTTTTTTTGCTTCATAGTTTCCATGAGAGATTTTAAATCATGTTCCACGTAATCCATGACAATAAATATCTTATCCATATTGCTACCAACGACTATTTCTCGAACAGTGACAATATTGGGGTGTTGCGCCTTCAATAAGGTGTTGATCTCCCTCAGACTTGTAATTGGAAAGCCTTCTTTCTCTTTTTCCATTTTCAATCGTTTCAACGCGACTATCTCCTCTGTGCGCTTATCGCGCGCTCTATATACGACTCCGTATGTACCTTCTTCAATTCGATTTAAACACTGAAATTCCTCGACGCTTCTACAACCTAGAAAGTAAAAAATTTGTAATGTTTATTTGCTTGTATTTGCCTTTTATCCCTAAAATTTTTAAATTTATATTAATTTATATAGATTTGTAGCATTATTTGTGTGTTATACCTTGAATAGCTGGTAAATAATGCGGTAATTCTGGTTCCTCTTCTTTCTTTTCCTCCTCTTCCACGTTTTTCGCAAGAATGTTGGAATCAACATGACCAGGGGAATCTCCGTCCGAATGATCGGATTTAGCTAATCGATCAACAGACAGAGGACTTGGGTTGTTATAATCCGAACCCTCATTGGAATCAGCACCGGTACCTTTATTCGATTCATTAGATTCATCGTCATCGTCGCTGCTCGATTCCGAAGTGTCAGACGAATGTCGATCCAAAGATCTCTCACGCAAGCTTCTCTCTCCTTCCGACGAGTGTCTAGATTCAGCTGATTTCGAACGCATGCCCTCAGAATGAGCAGGACTGGGGCTCTCATCTGACAGCTCCACAATGGAAGGATCCGGGTTGTTGTCTGGACTCAAGGGGCGTTTTTCACCTCTCTTCATTCTTCTCGCCTCCAATTCTAGTCTAGAAACCTCTTTTCTTCTAGCCATTTCTCTATCAGCTTCCAATAATCTCTCCTTTCTGAGTTCCTGTTCCGTCATCTCTTTTGGATCTTTAATCTGTATTGGAATCTCATTTTGCACTTCCATTTCGTTAATCTCGTCGGCTACGATGTCCATCGTTTCTCGCAGCTGCTTTTCTCTATGTTCCTTTTCGCGTTCCATTTTCTCTTGATCTCTTTCGCGAATTCTATCATGCTTGTGAGATCTCTTACGGCGTTTTTCGCTTCTTTCGGGTCGTTCCATCAGCTCGTTTTCTGAAAACTGTTCGTCTACGATCACTCGTATGTGCCTCTGTTCCTCCATTCGAATCTCGCGGCGATCTCTAGTATCGTCTATGATACGCATTTCGCGACGTTCCCGAATGTCTTCCATTCGTATATCTCGACGATCGCGCGATTCGCGTATTTCTCGCGCATCCTCTAATCGCATTTCGCGACGAGACGATTCCATTTTGTAATCGCGAGTATCACGCGGATCCTCCCGTCTTTCTCTTCTCTTGTCTAACAACCTAGAAAAAATTGATATTTTCATTTTTAAGTAGGTTTTCGGAAACAAGAGTATATAAAAAAGAGTTATCAATATCTTCTATAAAAAACTTTTATAAAAAACAATGGTAAAGAAAAGCATAGATATAAAATATAATTACCTTTCTCTCAAGTCTTCTAAAACACGATCTCCTGTACTTCTTTCCTTACGATCATGCCTAGATGATTCTCTATCCCTAGAGTGAGTTTCCATCCTATCTAAACGATCAATTCTCTCGCGACTCCTCTTGGAAGTTTCCAAGCGCTCGGTTCTTTCCATTGGCTCTCCGACATGCCTGCGATGCCTGTGTTTGTCCCTGTGCCTGTCCTCACGTTCGTGCTGGCGTGATTTGCGTTCCTTCTCATCTCTGCGACTTCTTCTATCACTATGTTTCTCTCTTCGACGAGACGAACTTGATTTATGATGGCGAACAACTGCTTGCGGTGGTTTAATATCCAACGAGTCAGCAGTATCACCACCTTCTTCTTCTGAAAAACTGGAAATATGGAGTTAAGTCAATAGAATGAATCAATAATATTATTAATTTAAAAATTATAGATGAACTTATTTATATAGATATTAATATCTTACAATGTATATATATGTGTGTGTAAATTTACGTGCAATGTCAATTACCGTTAAAGCTTTTGATGGCTATATATAGAGTAAGAATGATTTTACAAACAATAAATACGACAATCATTAAATTATTTGAAGTATAATATATAAACGCTCTGGTAGGTTATTTTACAGAAGTCTAAATACCTAAAAATTCTGGGCAGCATCGTTCGTCATTCTGATTTCGAGACGCAACATATTCTTATATCTTATATATATTTTCCTATGATAAGGAAAATCTACTATTTTTCCAAACACTGTATAAATGAAATTATTGAAAAATTTCCGACATGGACTCTACCATTTGCATGAATGTATATACACGAAATCTGTATTACCGATAAAGTCATCGCAAAGAAAAAAATGCTTTTCAAGTTAAAATCTGAGATCACAGAATTCTATATATTACTAGATAAATTGCCAACTCCCTAAACCAAAAAAAAAAAAAATGTAAAATGCTTTATACATAAAAGTTAGCAAACTGATATATATATAATCTATGGTCTGGACAATTTGGCCAAAAATGGTGACGAGTGCACTCTGTATGTTTGTGAACTAATTACGAAATTGAAATTACAAAAATTAAGTTGCGCAAACGTGTGAATGCGCATGCGCCCTATCATTTTAATTTTACACAAGATTTGAAAAATGGCCAGAGAATACAATACACATCGTGAAAATTAAAATTGTACTGACAGATTGCGCTATAAATACAATCGTTTCCACAGTTGATGACCATTCAGATGTTTAAACAATCTTTCGACCTAACCTTAAATCACAAGTGAAGCTAAAAAAAAAAACGCTAAAAAATTATAAATACCTGTAATCGCCCATATCCTTCGATGGACTCTTCTTGATTTCTCCGTCCTCGCTCTGGTTATCGATATCCATATCCTCGGACATATATATCTTCGCAAGAAGCTAAACAATTCTAACCTGCACTTTGTGAAACACTGCGTTCACGGCAGCTGAATGCGTTCTCATTTTTCACGAATTGCGTTCCGGCAAATGGCAGACGACAATCTTAATTATTAATAGATTTCCGCTTGCGAAAATACACAAAATGCAAGACGTTGCGAAGCGTATTTTTCGCTCGTGTCTACCAACACGTTTCACTTCACCCGACTATCGAGAAAAATGAAAGCTGTGAAAAAGCGCAAGCGTGCTCCCTTTTTCGCGCATGCGCGATGTGCGGATGGCGATTACAGGTTCCTGATATTTAATATTTTATTCCTATTCCTAATATTTTCTCTATTGTGCGCAGGGCCTAACACTGCCATGTAAAGGCACCTTTACAACTACATAGGCCTAGTTTATACCGATATACTAAAGTTCGTATCAGACTACGCATTGAAAATTGAAGATTGAAGATTAAAGATTGAAATTTGACTAATCAGAACAAAAGAGACTAAAATTTCTTTATTCTGATAGGTCAAATTTGAATCTTGAATCTTGAATCTCAATCTTCAATGCGTAGTCTGATACGGGCTTAAGGGTGCGTTCCGTTCACGCATTGAGCGCATAGATCGCCTGGAAATCTATAGTTTACGTAACATATATTATAGATTTCCAGGCGATCTATGCGCTCAATGCGTGAACGGAACGCACCCTAAGTACTACACTGGCCAATCACAGCCATTCCATTCTTAAGAGGAATGGCTATGATTGGCCAGTATAGTATTTAATACGTATTAAAATATATCGGTGTAAACTAGACTATAATATACAATATACTTTTTCGACGATAGATCAAAAAGCGTTTAGAACTTGATGTAACATTTATCTCATTTATTATATTGAATTAAGAGTCGAGTGTTTTTTTAAATAATTATACACACTGACCTACACGCGTCATAGACAATGTATAATTCTGATAAAAGCGATGAAGTTCTGCGATGTCCTTACAACAAACATCACTTTGCACCAAGGTCAAGATTTCAACGGCATCTTGTAAAATGCGAAAAAGTAATAATTTTATGAATTACACTCATGCTTTCCAGAAACGTATATTAATTACGCTCAAAATTGTTACAGAATTACCCGCCAAATTACAAGGTCATCTGCCCGTACAATGCAACGCATCGTTTAAGCAAAAGCGAGATCGAAGAACATATCAATACGTGTCCTATGAGGAACATTGTTGAAGCAAGTTATATTCAACGTAAGTAAACTCGAAATTTTACGAAAATTTTACAATAGAATCTGTAACGTTTATTATAAAGATCATGTATGTGTGTATAAATTTGTTCAATAAGAAATGCTGGTCACTAATATAATTGAACATTATACAGCACCAAGTACCCATGATATGGTAAAATCATCAGAAGAATATAAATGTACAAGTGAGATTGATAGCGATGTGTTCTGGGAAAGTCAAGAAGAAATTAGAAATTTGCCAAAAATTCCTTTAAACTCCAAATTTAAAGACCAAACCAATGCATCTATCGAAGGAAATATGGAGTCGTTTGATAGTACAATGAATATTGGACAAGGTAATTTAATACATCACTATGAATATCTCAGCGATGAATCTATAAGAGATGATGCGGAATCAATTGGACGAGGCAGAATGTCTAGCAGTGCCGAATATTATGGAAGATTCAAGATATGAGAGAAGGAACAAACTAAATTGTTTGTTAAAACTAATATAAACAGAAGAAAAATGTAATATAGATATAACAAAGTGATAGATAAACTTGACAAAAATAAAATAAAAAAATTACTTTTTTATATTTGATAACAAAATGGAAATAAAAACACTTTAACTATCTTCATTAATTGTGTGTTCCATAAATAACTTTTTTATGAGCAAGTTTTCTTCTGCGTTTTACCCAAATGTTTTTATTTTCTCGCATAAATTTTATTTTTATACTTTACATAAATCCTAATATTTACAAATGTATTATATTTCAAGTAAATTTCTGATGAACGAATTATATGTATACTACATATTAATATACATATAGAAAACGTAATATCAAATGTCAATAGAGTGGACACACACAAATTTATTTTTGAATCTATATATACAAATATGTATATTTCATTAATATATCTTATTAAGCATTTCAAACTGCCCCATTTTTGTTTTTTAATTTAATTGTTTCACGGAGTACCAAAAAGTTTACTGCCTAGTATAATTCTGGAAATATACAAACTTCTTAAATTTTGTATTTAGTCTTTCGTCTTTCTATATAGAAAGATATTGCACAAGAGTATAACAAATATTATATAATTCTTATTGAATGATACATAATCACCTCTCTAAATACAATTTAGAAATTCAGGACATTAAATAATTTTGATGCTCAAAAAAACCATATACATAATATTTAATTTTTATATATTATTTGATATGGAGATGGCATCTCATTAATTATCGCAATGTATACATGAAATGTGAAATATACATAAAATTTATATTTACAATTAATAACTAAACATATTCATGTTGTCAAAGTAACAGAGTGTGGCACTTTATTAAATCAAAAAATTTATAATCATCAAAATAAAAGCCACTGGATAAATGCATCTATTATCTCTAAAAAAAAAACTATGTGCAAATCATAAGTCGAAATACGTATCAAAATTTTTTTCAATCGACATATAGTTTTATAAATTTAGAATTTTATGCTATGAACAATTTTGAAATATTGTAATTTTTTGGAATGTTATACACATCCATATTTGTACAGGATACACAAAATAACGATTAATTAGAGAATGATATGTACAAAGATTATGAAATGTAAAAACAATTTTAAAATTTTAATCATTTAATAAAAAAAGAGATATATATGTATGTGCATATACATACATATATGTATATATATAATTTGGTTGATAGAAATCAACAACTAAAATCAAAAATATATGTTGCATGATATATGTGTATAATAAAGCAGCTAGGCCATAGAAGTACATAATGAAAATGCTTGTGTCTTATTATATATTCAAAATAAGATAATATATTCAGTATATTAAAAGCAACCAGTTTAACTCAAAATATGTTCACTCTACATAGACTTGCTATATGTTACATTTATCTGTAAGAAGTTACACATCTCCTTTATGATGTAAAGTGAAAAGAAATTGCTAAGACATGTACATTGTACATGATAGTAGATCGAGATATAACTTTCATACATCTTTAACAAAAGAATGCAAACTAACGATTTTTTGAACTGTCAGTTGTTAAATAATTATCATGGATTTTATTTTTTTGTTTTAAAGATCAAGAACGATTTGATGCCTGATATCAAGTAGCGCAATACTGTTGAAATAATTGAATTACAAAACTTATATATACATAGAGATTTTACGTCAATGTCGTTTTATTTTTAAATATCGAGTTTGTGGAAGTATATAGAGTAGTTATTTATATTATTAGTTTATACTATTTTATAATATTTATTTCATAATATTAATTATTTTCGCGCAATATTCTCTCGAAACATCTTATCCCGCCGCCACATACATCAAAGGACGTAAAAAGTAAAGAAGCTTATCTATGAGTAATATAATTTTGGATACTGACACGTAGCCAGCAGTACTATTTACAAGTTTCTAAAGTATGTGTTTGGAGCAATATTGGCAGTTCGCTTAGCTGCAGTCTGTTAATGTTTTATTGTATAAAAACTTGTAAATTTATTGAGCGCAATTGTTGCACAAAATAGCGAGATCATTGCACTATATTCGTCAACTGCACCGGCTCGATACATTTGTCGGGCAATCGATACATTTATATACAATAAAATGTATCGTGCAATATTGACAATTATATTTGTAATGCTTATCTCTTTCTTTCTTTTTCTTTTCTTCTCTATATTATTATTTTTATGTGCATAATTCTTGTCACCTTAGCACCGTTTATATATTTGTTGACTTTTTCTTTTGTTGCTTCCATACTGATATTCTTTCTTTTAAGTCGAGCACTGCAATTTCGAAAATAATCATTAATTTGAGATGCATTTCTAGATGGATAAAAACTTATAATAGTTCATATACATATCTTAAAATCGGCATAAGATATTAAAAAATTTCAATTCGATAGACTTTAAAGGACAGTCAAAAACTATATTATCTGATACATCAAATATTTTTCTAATATAGTTATGTATATTTATGTATAATGCATTCTGATGAAATAATACCAATATTTAGACTAAAAGAAACTTGACTTTATCAAAAAAGATAAAAATATGAATAAGATATATATTTACTTGGCGTGAGCATATCTTCGCTAAGCGGCTGCCGACTGAAAGGATCCGTGGCACTATTGAGTAAATGTCTAATGATAACTGCTTTGTCCATAACAATACCAGACGGTAGCTTGACCGGATCCTCCATAAGAGTATCCATTAATGGATCCCGAAATTCCTCAGGAGCGTCGCCGTAGTCCGCGTCGCGTGCACGATTGTCTCTCGCAATTACCGCTGCACGCTCGGCGAGAGCTATGAACCTCTCGATTTCCGTCGTAGTTTTGATGGCGGATCTCTCTAATCTGCTCGCAGCGTCGGTGAACAACTCCTTACAAAACGAACGCTGCAAAAATGAATAAATACGTCGCGACGTCACACGTCGGGCGTATACACACACACACACACACATACATATATATGTGTAATATATATGACATATTATAAAAGATACACTCACTTCATCACTGGCCAAAGCAGCCGCGAAATTATCACAGTCAAGATGTAAATATATATCAACCAATTGGCTGAGTAACGTCCTCGGTTGCCAACCGTATTTTTGCGGTTTTCTCACTCTCAAATTTTTACACTTAGGTCCACACAACTGTTGCAAATTGAAATTCAGCATGGCACACAACCGTCCGACTAATTCCGGTCGTAGAAACGGTTCTTTAATGTCGACTGTCAAATAATGAAACATGGCAACTGTTTCCTTGGCTAATGTAAGATAAGATCTGGCTTGTCTCTCGTCTGCTGCCAGCTGTCTCGTTCTCGATTGCTGTTGCTCCTGCGAAAGAGCGCTCCACGCGCTAGTGTCGGACATGAGTTCCTGCACCTCGTGTATACGCTTCAGAGATTCCAGACTCTCGTCGAGCAGGAAGGTGGTGTCGTTCATCAGCATGTTGATAAACTTGACGAATTGCTTGCCGTTATTGCTCTCATTGACGATAGACGCTCGATGTATCGGGCTATCCCACATCGATTTTAAGATCAGACTTATGTGATAACGTATTGAAAACTTGTCGTAAAATTCGGAACTAGAGCCAGTGGTTTCAACGTCGGTATAAAACTTCATGAGATACGACGCCAGAAATGTCTTGGATATAGGATGTGCCATGACTTTATCATGAAGAGTTTCTGTTCTTCCCTATGTAGGTCAAAAATAAGATGTCAATGTAATATAAAATATAAGAGTGCATTTCATATATACAAATTTACCTGAACACTAGGATTTATCACAAAAAGAACCTCGATGATTTTTGCGATTAGATACGGATTTCGTATACAATGTGGCGTACACACGACGACGAGTAGCCAAGTGATAAGCGAATTATCCATATTACTTGCCACTACCCCAGGGCAGAATCTGCAAATAAAAATGCAGTTATAATTATTAATAAGCTATAGATAAGCATTATGTATAATTGTGAGACTTGATAATTTAGTAAAAACTTACTGGAGTGTGAATAACAAAAATTCCGCTATGTCCTCCACATACCATTCCGGTAGTGCGGTGAATTTGCACGTAACTTCCTGAGGTAATGGAAGTTCGGGAAGAGGATCACCCGGAGTAGTTTGCGTCAGAAGACTTAACAAAACCTCAGCGACCGATATATAAAAATGTAAGCATCTTCTCAAAAAGATGGGATCTATCAGACCTGCATCCGCACATGATTTGGATTTAACCAATCGCTTCAACTGTTGCTTCCATTGTTTGATCAAATCTTTATTGTGCTCCGCAAAAGGACTATCTTTCCATTGGGGTTCTGTGGCTTGCAGTTCGTCGAGCATTTTTTGTAAATCCCGTAAGGCCCGCAATTTTCTTTGATATTTTTGCAATGCCGGTAACAGCGCGATGTGATGACAATGCAGCGTGAGGAACCAACATTGCGTCGGAAACTTCGGTTCTGTCCACTTATGTGTGTTCTCCAAATGTTTTTGCCATTCCGCGACCTCTTGCGAAGTGAGTTTCAGTCTTGTGTCGTTCTTTATTTCGACGAAACTGGAAGGATGAAATGGATACAGCAGATCTACAGTATCCAGCTTGATCTTCACAGAGAGCATTTGCAAAATCGATAGTAGATTCAACATAAATCCATCTCCGGCCAAGGAGAATTCTTCCGTCTGTATTTGCGCGCGTTTCTCATTGTGACGCAGCAATGCCGCCAAATACGCAAGGGTGGCATCGCGGCAGTTGCTATTCGCGAGTATTGCATGAAACATCTTGTGCAACGACGTTCTGGTACTCTCCAATTCTTGTTGCAGCGTGAGATTCACCGATTTGTCCGTGACAGGATTTCCGCTGAAGAATTTCTCCGCCACTTTCGGTTGCTCTTCGGCAAATACCGATACCGAGAGAAACGGTCCCAGGAATGAGGTTCTCGTGAGTTCTCTTCCGGCTGCTGATGTCATAACATCAGGCAAGAATTGAACTTGATTCGTTATCAGACGGCAAATCGGACGTATATTGCCACTTGGTCCACAGCGAATCTCTATCAGTTCGTCTAACGCCTCGATCGGTCTTCTATGCGTATTGCCGACCAAGCTCGCCTGCTGCATCGCGAGATACAGGCCTTGCAAAACTGGAGTGAAAATTTTATTGAATGTGTTCGGATTCGTGTGTGTCCTAGCCACGAGCTCGTGAAGATAGCCGCGAGGTAAACTCTGCGATAATATCGGATAGAGAAGATGAGTGGTGCACATAGGTATAACAGTAGCTTGGCAAATGCCGACCAACCCTTGTAGAACGAGGCTAGAATACTGAACACATTGCGCTCTCAAAATTGTTAGTACATCGGAAAGAGGAGGTACGCTGGATCGCTATAAAATATATAAATAAGAACTGGTTTAATAAACTCTTGTTTAATTTTGAAGATATATATGTGTGTGTGTGTATACCTTTGGATGATTTCTTTCTTCAATTGCAATTCTTGAATAACAATCTAATAAATAAGTCAAACTTTTCGGTTGTGATGATTTATCGCCTATGGGTAGTGGTATGGTTGGTAATTGATAAGATGGAAGAGCCACCACAGGACTTAACAAAGGACTTGCTTGGCTATTCGGACTATCCTCACGGTCGGACGACATGTCTACCGTGATGTCTTTCAAAGGATTTTCCCCTCTCGAGAATATACACAAAACCTCCATCAGTGCCTGATTGATAATATCGCTAAAGTCCAGCTGTCTCTGTGTTTGCGTGTACGCTGCCGTTTGCGGCAGAAATATACTTCCTTCTATAGGGCTTTTCCACGATATACACAAGACACGTGATATGACAACATGTATGTGATCTGTTGTAACTTCTATGCTAGAACTTGTTGTCTAAAATATAGCAAAAATAGAAATAGATGAGAAATACAAATAATAAATCACACTCTTATTGTATCAAAAAAAGTTTTTCTTTTTTTATATATTTTTGTATTTTCTCTTTCTCAATATAAAAATACTCACACGTGATCTTGGTATCGAATCTTTTCTATCGGATTCCTCAACCTCCATAGTTTCGATTCCAGAATCGACATCTAGTCCGGAGGTATTACACTGCTTATCGCTGCTTTCTTCCACTTCCATTGGAATCTCAGCACGCTGTAATTGTTGTGGAATAGACGGAGATATCATTGGTTCTGCAAATGCTTTCGATGGACCTGGAGTACTTGGAGAAATTGGAGCAGTAGTATTAGATGAACTGGCAGCTACATTACTAGTGTTTAAGCCCGCTAAGCGGGCTAACCGCCTTTTCCTCATCTAGAACAAAGTAACAAAAAAAGAAGTGATGACTCTTTTTAGAACTCTGCTAAGAGATGCCTGAAACATTGAAAAGGCATAGTCATTCATTGAAATGTCTTTGTTACCGAGCTATTTTTATCCATCAGTATGTAGCAGCTTATGCTAAAGAAAACAAAAAGATGCAGTCTATATTATATTTTAAAAATAACAATATTGAACTCTTTGTTGTCTCAATTGCATATTATTGTTCAGAAATATAAATCTTAAAGAATAAAACGAAAAATTGCAATACACTTGCTGATAAAAATTGTAAGTTTATTGCTTTCACAAATGTATGCGATTGTAATTTCTCAACAAACAAAGGAACAAATATATGTATGACAGAGAGCACGATACAATGGCAAAAAGCAAAATGATTGCAAAGAATAGCGAAATAATTAAAGAACGAAATTTGTTATTGTGAAATCATATGATCTTGAAGTAAATGCATTATTGGACGCTCCATGCAAGGTTTCCTTTATTAAAATGTAAGAAATTGATTTATATCGTGCGTCCATTACATAATTAGTTCCCTTATGCGCGCGTGTAGGCCATTTTTACGACCAACACGAAATAAACAATTTTTTCTGACGACAAAATAGAAATTCGAGGAAAAGATGTTTCGAAAACGAGTACGAGAACAATGAGCATGTTCTTTTCGACTGCGTTATGTTATTCTCTTCGCAAGATAAAAAAAAATATATATATATATATATCCAAGATTTCGCAAAAGAGATAAAAAGAGCGAGAAAGAGAGAGAAAGAGAGAGAAGATAAAGAAAAATTGCAGAGACATATAGAGTGCAGTTATGAAAAGAATGGATCTCTCTGGTATGACAACAAATCGAAGGTTTGTAACACACGAGTGTTACACTCTTTGCACTCGAGAACGGGACAAATGTATATTCAACTATTGGAGGGAAAAGGAGGAAGTGGGCAAACTCTCGCAGGGCAACAAGAAGATATAATCGAACACGCTTAGCCAGCATAGATTCCAGTTCGCCGAAGTAATCGAAAACGATCCTTTTCTTCTTTTTTTTTTTTTTTTATTCTCTCACTCACCTCTTCCTGGCTCAGCTCGCTCATGGCGATCGCTTTATTTCGTCCGTTGTTCTGTCAATAAGAGACTGGGCTCTCGGTGAGGACCTCGGGCTCGTCGAGGAGAGGACGACTCGCACTCGTCGCGCGCGTGTATACGCGAAAAAAAAAAAAAATTGGACCGTGCACGCTCCCCGTAGCGCGACACGATAATCGCGCTCGAGATGTGTCAGAAATTTCGACAGTCACTCCACATCTGTTTGCGTTTGGACGTGAATGCAGTGGTCTGGCGCCGAGTCACGGCCAGTCGTTCGCTGCGTCGTCGACTCTTCAAAACAGCTGAGCAACCAACAAGCGCGTCGCCACGCGCTCGCTATTTCCCTCCGTCTCTCTCTCCTTCTCCTCTCACCCTCTCCTTCTCTTCTGTCTCTCTCTCTCTCTCTTCTTTCTCTCTCTTTCTTTCTCCATATATCGTATTGATGGAAGCGAGTTAAACCCATTTTAGACGACCTATATAATTCGGAAGATAGTTTGCAGACAAATTCTATATATAATTTGATATGCAATATAAGTAATGATGTGTAATATAAATCTATTTTAGATGATCTATATCTCACCTTAAAATTTGCAATGTCATTCCACGTTTAATTTGATATATGCGAGAAGCCAATAGTGCGATAAATCGATTTGAAATAATCTAGAATTTGTATGTAATAAAATTCGGGGATAAAAACTCTACCCCTGTATAACTTGATATGTATAATAAAAATTTGCGTAATAAGAAACAAATTGATTTCTTATATAAGAATTATTAATTATTTTTATATTGAAGTTTTTCCTTACTCGCATATGTTATTTTATAACAGAGTATTGGTTTGAAAATGGTTGAAATATTTGTAAGATGTTTATTAGCTTCTTTTTCGTTGTGACAATGGTAAATTGAATTTTCCCGCGCAATATATCGATAAATTCTTTTCGATTGTTGCGAATGTGTACGTACGATATTTTTTTGAAATATGCATTGGTCAATAGTATCTCAACAAGTGCGAAGAAAAAAATAAATAATTGACGAATGGTACGATTATAATCAATAATCACGCTTATCACCGAATTATATTACGTAAATGTTAGATTTGAAACTTTTCATCCGACCGTCTCTTTTGAGGTTAGAGTTGGAGTTATGTCAGATTAAGTTAGGTTAGGTTAGGTTAGATTAAATTAGATGGAGCGAGTTGGTAGCCAAGTCAAGAATTAGGCCCGGAAACTGCCGGCTCCGAAACTGCGTTTGACGTGAGACGTCATCGTCGTCGAAGACGTCATCGAGGCATACTTGACCTGATATTAGCCATTGGTGGATTTTACGATTCCTGACAGGATGAACATTGGGGAAATAGTGGATTTCACGGAGCTTGGTAAACGCATGCTTCTGCATCATATGTCATATGTCAAAGTGCGCTTACGCTTCTCCCTTCTTCCTCACCCTTATACCTTTTGTCATTGTCGACGTATGTGTCTAAATCCGATCGCCACGTAATATCGTCATCCATACTTTACATTCTTGGATTCTGTATCGTTTACAATTACTACATTCATGTTTCTGTTAACGCGCGCGGTTGAAAAGGATTGTATCTCAACATCTTGAATGTCCTTTTAATTTCTGCCAATTGTTTAAAAACCTAATTTAATAATGCATGGTTAATAATATAGTAAATAACTAAACCTCGTGTTATTTTTCGTTTAAATGACTATTATTGTGTGATATGTATATGTAATTTGTTTATACCAGAATTGCATCATGTATGCAAATTATGTGTGAATTATTGAAAGAGGGAAAGGGAGAGGAACATGTCACCATTACAACATTTAACATGTTAAGAATGATCTCTCTGGATTCGCGTTGATAACCCAGAAACATAATATCGTCATCCATACTTTACATTCTTGGATTCTGTATCGTTTTCAATTACTGCATTCATAATAATATAGTAAATAACTAAATCTCGCGGTATTTTTCGTTTATATGACTCTATTGTGTGGTATGTACATGTAATTTATTTATACCAGAATTGCGTCATGTATGCAAATTATGTGTGAATTATTGAAAGAGGGAAAAAGACCCAGCAAGCAAAATGATGCAAACTTTGCGCAAAGTTTGCAGCAAACCCGAGCATGCCTTTATAGCAAAATTGTGACAAGGTGTGTCCGCAAAAAGCTTAGCTTTTGCTGGCAAAGCTTGTCGCAATAGGAGAAAACCGCTTAGTAGCAATCGAATGTGATTGGTTCTTACTTTTAGAACCAACGAACCAACGTCGAGTGTTGACAAGACGATAACTAAGCGCTTTCTCTGCTGAACGCGGCCATTCAGTCCAATATCTGAATTCCCTATGTTGGGATTGTATCAGTAATTGAACTGATAGAAATAATTATATTTTTAATCTTCTACCAGTTGCTCTTTGCAAGCTTTATATACATCATGACTACAAATCAAATACGAGATGGATGCATATAGCGCGTCGCATAGCGATGAATAAACGAACTATCGGCAGAATACTATATTTTTGTAAAGTTTGTAATAAAGTAAAGTTGTAAATTTGCTGTCATGCCGTGCATGGCAAGATTTGCTCTGTTATTTGCGTAAATTTTGCGTCTCGTTGTGTCAGAGTATACTTTGCTCTGTTCTTTCCGTAAATGTGTTATCATATCGTGTACAATAAGGTTTGCTCTGTTCTTGTCGTAAATTTGCTATTATAGCGTGTATAACAAGATTTGCTACTAATTGGCGTAAAGTTTGTGTTACACCGTGAATTAGCATCATACGTGTTCTTCTATGCGTAAAATTTACGGGCAAGCCTTTTCCTATTATTTACAGCATCGTGAGACGAAAAATTTTGCCGTCAATTTGCTTCAAACTTTTTGACAAACCAAAACAAGACAAATGTTTGCTACAAAATTGTTGTCAAAATTAAAGCACACCTTGTCGCAAAGCTTTGGCAAAACGTGATTTTAAAATTCTTGGCTATCTGGGAGAGAGGAACATGTCACCATTACAATATTTAACATGTTAAGAATGATCTCTCTGGATTCGCGTTGATAACCCAGAAACATAATATCGTCATTCATATTTTACATTCTTGGATCCTGTATTGTTTTCAATTACTGCATTCATGTTTCTGTTAACGCGCGCGGTTGGAAAGGATCGTATCTCAGCATCTTGAATGTCCTTTTAATTTCTGCCAATTGTTTAAAAATCTAATTTAATAATGCATGCTTAATAATATAATAAATAATTAAATCTCGCGTTATTTTTCGTTTAAATGATTCTATTGTGTGGTATGTATATGTAATTTGTTTATACCAGAATTGCATCATGTATGCAAATTATGTGTGAATTATTGAAGGAGAGAAAGAGAGAGAGAAACATGTCCCCATTACAATATTTAATATGTTAAGAATTATCTCTCTGGATTCGCGTTGATAACAGAATCATTTAATTTAATAAAAAAAATATGTTTTGCAGACGCGGACACTCAAGAGCTGATAAGGGAGAGCGCGGCGGCGCGTGAGAAATCGTATTCGCCTTACAGCAAATTCAAGGTCGGTGCCGCGGTGCGATGCGCCGATGGAAGTATTTCCCGGGGTTGCAACGTGGAGAATGCGGCGTTCTCCGCGACCGTGTGCGCCGAGACCACGGCGATCGTGCGAGCCGTTGCGGAGGGAAAGAAGAAATTTACATCGTTGACCGTGGTCGCCGATCAAGAGAACATAACGTTCACCACTCCGTGCGGAATATGCAGACAGGTCATCTCCGAATTCGGCGGTAACATACCCATCTACTTGGCGAGAAGCGACATGAAACAAGTTTTACGGACTAGAATGAGCGAACTATTCCCGCTCTCGCCGTTCCGCACAAGTGATACGGAAACTTCGTAATCTATCTCGATTCGGAGATGACGCTCGATCACTGTAAAGGCTATAACAAAATGCGCTAAATTTTTTCCAGTTTTACTTCTTAATTCGAATATTTTTATCCACAACTTGATATATTGTAAATTTTGTTATATATGATTAATGTTGAATTTTATTTCGATGGAATTAATCGATGCGGAAGTATTATTTACAATGACATATTTGTCAATTGTTTAAAATGTGATATACAATGTGTAACAGTGAAACAAAAATATTATATAACATTATGTATACTGTAAAGTTTAAAAAGAAAAAGTAATTTGATAAGATTATTATTAATTAACCAAAGTTTGTAACGTACATACATGATACGCGCTAATATGTATTTGCTATACCTGCGATCGTTACTTTATTACATATAAATCATATAATAATTATTATATTATATATATATAATTCATAAATTTAAATAATCGCAGGCTAGTAAGAGCCAGACGCGAATGACTAGTGCGTCAGTTTCATTGAAAAATAATTTTTCTTTGAAACTAATTATGTGCACAGGGCATGAAACATTTACTTGGTCTTATATCAAGTGTAAATTAATCTCAATTTGAGATTTATAATAACCTCCCCCTGGAGAAACGAAAGCGAGAAAAATATCGGGGCGAAGTCATTGAATTGGGAATCGAACCCTGTGCACATAATTAGTTTCATAGAAAACTTATTTTTCTATGAAACTGACGCATTACTCGATGGAATTAATCGATGCGGAAGTATTATTTACAATGACATATTTGTCAATTGTTTAAAATGTGATATACAATGTGTAACAGTGAAACAAAAATATTATATAACATTATGTATACTGTAAAGTTTAAAAAGAAAAAGTAATTTGATAAGATTATTATTAATTAACCAAAGTTACATACATACATACATGATACGCGCTAATATGTATTTGCTATACCTGCGATCGTTACTTTATTACATATAAATCATATAATAATTATTATATATATATATATACAACCCATACGATTATTATCAAATTAAACCTAACCAATAACTTTGTAAAGTTTTAATTACAAAAGCGGATAATTGCTTACATATGAGACTTCATCTTGACTAGAGCTTCGTCTCACTTTTACCAAAATGGACACCTGTAACAATATGTAGTATTATCGGGGCGAAGTCATTGAATTGGGAATCGAACCCTGTGCACATAATTAGTTTCATAGAAAACTTATTTTTCTATGAAACTGACGCATTACCATCTGCGTCTGGCTCTTACTAGCCCATGATTATTTAAATTTGTGAATTTCACTCGAGAGTCTATAATAATTTCTTAAATTTGTTATATATATATAAAATTCTCTTTAGATAAAATCAAAGTCTGAGCAAATTGTTAATATATATAATACCAAACAAAATGCATATGTTGTAAATATAATAAAAATATCTGTAATACATATATGTAAAAATTACTAAACATGTATACATGTTTTTTCTATAATATATAGCAATAAATAATTACGCACCATCCAATGTAACATTGACAAAGGTTTTCATTATTTGTAGCCTGCTGAATTAGTAGATCGACTTGTCGTCGAACGCTGAGAGTTTCCTCGTGCGAAAAATCGCGTCCTGTTAATTTGTCTCTGACTCTGGTTATAATTGTCAGGGCTTTCTTATTTAATGCTTCTGGTTGATTATTATCAGCTGGAACATTGAAAGCAAAGCTTGCACACAAATGCTTGGGAAAGGCTGACATGTATGATAATTGTTTTTCAATTAATTTAATTTGTAATATCACTTGAATTTTTAAGTCAATTATAATTGAAAAGATTTTTATAAATGTACACGTCATTCTTTGTTGATGTTTTGAGAGATAAACTTTTATTAATATCTTTATATATTATTATATATGAATAAGCATAAAAATATATGAATAAGCATTCGTGTAGGTTTGAAAACAATGAATTTAATAACTTTATCATCTGACACAATGCTACATTAATGGGAGTTAAAAAATGCATTTACCTTTACCTCCGTTTTCAATGCTACACGGTACACCCTTCTTTGGTAACGTGGCAGTAAGAGAATCGAGCATATCGCCCTGTTCCTGGCTGCTGCTAGCGCTCATACTCTGGGCGTCCGATCGTTTACCCTTGGGTACTGCGTTGTCCATCAATCTCCAATTAAGAAGAGGATCGTACACAAATGCCTCCAGGACTGCCATTAGACTATCCTTGTTCCGATGCAGTACAGACATCACGGATTCGCAGGTCCTTCTGTATGTTCCCTCGATACCGGTCACTTCCATCGCGTTGATCAGCATTCGCGTCAGACGGAACGGTATTTTCTCCGGAAACTTCTCTCGCGTCATCGCCACCTCGAAGCAATCCCCAAAGTCGATGTGTAATATTTTACCGCTGAGACGATCCAACATTAGATTAGAAGGATGACGATCGCCGAGACCAAGTATGTATCCCACCATAGACATCACGGCTAAAGAGCGCGTATAATTTGTCCTGCGATCAAACCATATCTCACTCGATGGCGACTTTAGCCACAAAAGACGCGCCAGATCGTCTCCATGTGTATGTTCGAGCGCGTGTTCGAACACCTCGACTTTCTGCATGAGCATGAGATGATCATAGTCAGGTGCCATCTAGAAACATAAAAGTTATAGCACAAATATAAAATATATATTTGTATATATTTTACGCATGATAGATTTTTTAAAATGTATAATTGTAAAGTTTAAAAAACTTGTCAACTTACTCGTAACATTATCCTGTGTTCGATATTGAGTAATATCTTCTTCTTTTCCCTATAATCTCTAATAAGAGTGTGAAGTGTATCGCAATATGGTACCCAACCAATTAATCCACTGTTTGTAGATAATGGAATCACAGCGTATCTCTAAACATATAATCCGATTGATATAAAATTTTTGCAATTTGCAATACATTTATACTTATGTCAATTGCAAACTAAATTTACCTGAATAGTAAGATTTCTTCGGAAAGTATCCGGATCGTGCAACAAAAGGGTGTTGACTAGACCAAATAATTGCATCACCCTCTCATCTTGTCTTAGATCTTCGTGACCTTTTAATAGGAACATATAATCCTTACCGTTGCTACCTAGAAAATATACATTAAATTAGATTAATATTATCTAAATCGTTTTAATAATAATAAAAAAAATATATATATATTTTTTTTCCATTATAATTTAATTTTAAATCATAAAACCAACCTTTAATACATAATTTCCTTGGTCTCTGTTTACTGGTTATCACTTGCATAGAGCTATGAATACTAGCTATTCTCACTATAGGTTGGCCAGGACTGTAACTTCCTGGTACAGCTAACTCCAAGTCTCGACAGAGAAGCAATTTCGGGCTAACGTATTGCAATTCTAAACTGGTCAATTGCGGCAGTTGTCGGGATATCCTTCGAAACACGTGATAGTACAAATCCCAGGCTTGATTCAAATCTCGAACGTTTCGTGACGCTTTATATCTATGACACCATTCTTGCGCTTCCATCAAGTCTCTTCCATAAGCTTGATTGAAGGAAGTCTCTTTTAAAGTTTGTGGCCCCCTTTCCAGCATAGCGTGCAACGGCTCCAGCGTGTCGAACATGCCTCTAACATTTCTTTCGCCAAAATACAATCTACTGGCCTCCTCCAAACCTTCGTGCCATAATTCATGCCACAAAATCGCGACCCTGATAAGCTCGTCGCTCGCCATCATGGCTTGTTGTACCAACGTTGGGCTGTGTTCGCACATGCTTTTCAAAATTTTATTAGCCGCGGTCTTCCTCGCATGACTGGCGCTCTTCGAAGCTACCGTCAATGGATAAATCAGAGCCTGAGGATGCGTTTTTCCTATATCTATAAGAAGATGGTGTATGCAACGGCCAACCAAGGCCCTAGGTGTATCGATCCTGGCTATGAGTTGTGGTATCACTTGTAGCCAAGTGTTTATTTCTATCAATCTTATACCTTCGACGACGGCGTCATACACTTCCGGGCATTGACCGTAATCGAACCAAAGTGTCAGCAGACGAAGGGTGTCTTGCAGCGAATTGCCATCCGACAAGTTGATGGATCTGAAAAATCCTTCCACAGCTGGCACAGTAAACTGAGATATATATTGCGAAAGATTATTGCGCGTTCCGTTCCCGGGTACAACTGCTTCCGCAGGCGTGGAATCGTTGCCCTGTTGATGCTTGTAGAACAGTACGGTTTCATAATTGGTATAGGCGAAGGCGTGCCACGCTTTGTACCATGTAGGATCGTGTTCCGTCGCCGCAGCGTAGTAAGATAATACCGCGGGAATAGAACGCTCGTTTATGCCTTGCAAGGCTTCCAGCCACTCGCCGAGCTTGAGAAAGCACCTGGCGAGCACTCTCTTTTTACTGTCGTGCTGCTTCTCGTCGTCTTGATTCGTCGTTACTGCCGCCGTCGTCGGATTTGAATAAGTTTGCACAAATCGCTGCAATTGACCGTAAGCCTCCTCGCGTTTATTCGCGACCCACAGATGCTTGCAGTAAGCAAAAGTCACCTGGGGATGAGTGGTCGGTAATGGTTGATCCGGAGTCAAGGACGGATCCATACCCATCAACATCACCAATGTTTTGTGACACAGCATCAAGCTGCCGCTCTTTCGGCAGAGACTGGCGTACTTGAGCCACGTGTACATGTCATCCTGCGGCGAGACCACTAATGTATGCACCTGTATGATCTTCTGCCAGTCTTCCACTATTCTCTGTCCACCTTGAAGTCTTTCCCACCACATAGCCTTGATGGCCGTTCTGCGTTCGGGTACTAGCTTAAATTGTATCACTTCCTCCAATTCCGCCAACTTTTGTACCTCCACCATAGCATTGTACGCTCGTTGATAGCTCTCGCCAGCCATGGCGGTCAGCTCGGTATCTAACAGATCTCTCGCGCTGTCGATGAGTTGATGCGCGACGTTATATTGTTCGTCGTGAATCGCTAAAACCGCTCTGTAAAATGCCCCGTCTTGAGTATCCTTTGGTATCAGTGAGACATACTTCTGCATACTTTCCCATTGACCCAAACCCCACGCCGCGGCCGCCGCCATCCTCGACATTCTTTGTTTGATGTCGTCGCATTGATTCGACGACCATTGTTTCGTAGCGACCTCGTGCAGTTGGCCCCACTCGCCGAGAGCTTCCAGACAACGCATCTCACCCAAGATAGACTCCACATCCGCAGAATCGCTCTCTAGACGTTCCTGGTATAGTTGCAGCGCCTTGTCCCAGTTGTGAAGCTTCTCGTACCAGCGTATCTGTACTTTGAGATCCTGTTGATTGTGTTGGTTCATCACATATTCCAGCAAGCCTTCAGCTGCCTCCTTTTGTTGAAGCTTGTTATTGATGGAGATCAGGGACTCGAATATGTTACTGCTTCTGCTTT